AAAAAACATGTATTCCAAAAAAATTATGTCTTCTTGTCTTTTTTTTTTTTAATATTAACTCATTGAAACGTATGTGAATTCGTCATTCGAGACATATAAGCCAGTCCATAGTGGCATAAACAGACAAAAATCATTATCTATATCTATATCTATAATCTATAATCTATATCTATCTATCTATCTATAATCTATAATCTATCTATAATCTATCTATAACTCCCTTAAAAGTATGAGTTGTTTTTTGAAAAAATTGAAATGCCCATATTACCCTCTACAAATCTAGCTTTTAAGTACATAAATGTAATTTCATAATATTAATAACATTTACTCCTCCACATGTAAATACGTTTACTTCTCCACAAGTAATTTTATACTGTTACTTTGTTACTAATAAATAATATAAACAAATAATTTATTTCAAATAATAATACATTTACTCATTATAATATAAACAACTAAAATTGTTTATTGTTTCAAATAATAATATATTTACTCCTTATAATATAAACAACTAAAATTGTTTCAAATATCAAATAAATTTATTTATCAATTAAATTTATTTATTTGATTTATTTTTATCAAATATAAAAATATATTTATGCACCTTTCACAGTCAAAAATCCCAGCAAAAGCATTTTCTAGGACCATCAAATGAATAAAATAAATAATATTAAATAAAAAATGTATGAAGTTATACCTGACAAGAAAACAACAAACTATTGGCAAGACAGCAAAAATAGAACAAGCTACAAGAATCCAATGCATTAATCAATTATATGCATACCAATTTACCAATTCCAATTTAATGCCATAAATATGATTATTTGATATGTGATAAATAGTTGTAGTATAGTCTATCTTCAACATTGAGAATGTATTAGTCTTTTAATTAAAAGTGAGAAAATGAGTTACAAATCATTATTATCAACACTAATATAAGATATATTTTTTATATTAATTACAGTTGAATGGTCGTGAATGTGCACTGTCATTTTTAAAATTTAGTAAAAACACACTGAAGTAGTAGATATCATGGGTAATAATTTTCTACGATAATAATCAATTTTTTATAAGTAAAAATATAAATATTATAAAATATACAATCTACTTTCTTTTTTAGTTTAATCAAATTAAATTAAGCAAAATAAATTTAACTCATTTTTTTTTACTATGGGATTTTAAATCCTTAGAATAATTAAAATGGATTGAAGTTTAATTTTGAAATAACTATCCTATAAGGGAAAGTTTTTTCTTGAAAAGATTAAATTTGCCGAAAATTTCATATGCTATAATTAATTTCATACGCTATAATTTATTATCTTAAGATTATTTTATTTTATTTTTTACCTATTCAATAATTTAATTTCGTTTAGTTGATATAAAGACGTTAAAATTATGTAAACAATATATAAATTAGAAATAAAAAAAAGTTGAATAAAAATTATGGAAAATGTAGTTTTTGAATGTAAGAGAGAATATTATTTTAAGGTTTTATAAGTAAAATAAGATTTATTTTATAAGTGTAAAATATATAATGCACCAACGAAAGTATCATTTCTAATTTACAAATATTAAATTTTACTATAGATATTTTTTGTTATAGAATTAAAAAAAAAAAAAATTAAAGAAGTACAATTTAGTGAACATGCATGTAGAATTATTTATTTTTCACTTTTTGGATAGTCTTAAAAATCCATGAACGAAAATGATAATGCATGCATGACAATGTTAGGAGATGTAACAATATTTTATTTTCGACACTATATATAGATAGGTATTAGGTACCTTCAATCAACCAATGTTACAACAATTAATATAGATAGATGGGAACCTTTAATCAATCAAATATGTTATTATTCCTAATAATTTTCAAGTAATTTTTTTTAAATAATTTCGACTTTAAAGATTTTTCAAATATTTATATCTCTTATATCATTATATGCAGAGACAAAGTATGTATCTAAATATTACGAAATATTACACATGCAAATATAATTGAATTTTCAACAGTTATAATAAAAATAATAGAGAACGAAACATTCAACTATAGTGCTAGCTTCCAATCAACAGTAAGCAAATGATAATTACAAATTATAGTTCTAGTAAATTCGAGGTATTTTTCAAATAGTAAGACGCAAAAGAAAGACATTAAAAAATTATTATTTTGACAATAATAATAATGATCATTATTTTAAGCATTAAGGATGATATTACTAAATAGAAAAATCAAGGACGACATAGATTTCTTTAGCATTTACAATTTCAAAAAAAAAATATTAATTTTATTTTAGATTTTTTAACCAATATTTTTTATTTAATTTTAATTGTCTTAGAATTCTGTTAATAGTATTAAATTTTATATTTTATCATAAAATACACAATTTTTGTTAATAATGAAAACAAAATAAAATATAATAATAAAAATGTTTTAAGTAAAAAAAGCAATAATATCACGTGCGTAGCACGTGCATCTTTCTAGTTATATAAAGTCATTGAATGGTAAAAGTGTTAATACTTAATAGCACTTCTCAAGGTTTTAGTCACTAAGGTATGAGAAACACATAAGTTGAATTATGGTTCAGAGTTCAGACCACATGATGGTATTAATAAAACCATAATGCAAATCACAGAGGCTACACAACATTGATCACAAATTCACTTCCTCTATTATTAACTATTTTTACCAACACATCTGATCAACCTCCAACTTTTTCCCAACAGCCACAATATCTTTAACCTTCTTGCTTTTGCACACTTTGGTAAGACCAACACTCTCATCAACTCAAGTTCCATCTTCCGGTTTGATCCGACTCTCGCCAGATTTTACACACTTTTTCCTCAATCCACACACAGTAATAAAATCGTCCAAGAACTTAATTTTTCTCTTTCTTGAACTTCTACGGACTATAGAAATACCTTCATTTTCCCCACACTTATCTCTTTCTTCCACAGCCTGTGAACCAGTAACAGCATTCGCATTCTCAATACCAGTCGAATTAGTGACTACATTTGAATTGTCCCGAGCAATGGTCAAATCGGGATTGACTTTCACACTATGTGTAGATTGATAGGGACACTCTCGATTGAGAATGTTCTTTTCCAATGTTTCTGCATTTTCAATTTGTCTTGAAATATGCAGATTTTTGTTCTTGGTCTCGTCAAGTTGCTCGTGCACACAGTTAAGTTCAGCCCTGAGGTCTATTATGATGCCTTCTGCTTCATTTAGCTGAGATTCCAGCTCATGAATTTTATTCTTTTGGTTCAGTGATGTAATCTCCAGGAAAAAAAAAAATAGTACAATAGATGATAACTCACAGTTAATCGACAGTTTCTTATTTTCGAAATCAAATAAAGTAACACGTCAATGTGCAAGCCCCTTCTAATCAGGTTCAAATTGCATTTTCTGCTCCAAATTACATAACAATCTTTTTTCCATTGTTATTATCACAACCTCACAGGCATATACAGATACAGTTACTACGCATAAAGCATAATAGTCATCGTGTCATCAAAATCACCACATAGCCAAGGCCCAAGACTCTAACTAAACTAGTATAGAATAAAAGCATGAATGAAGAGAATATTCTAAATGAATGCACAAGGGGATGGCCTAAACCAAATAGGATTGGGCGCAATCTTGGTCGTCATGCTCTTCAAGTCACATGGATAATAGCATGGCGAGAAAGTGTCGTTTTCATAGTTGAATACGCCGATGTCATGTCCTCCACACCGATTCTCGTCATCTAAATAAAACATGTCTGTGTAGTAAATGGAGTTGAGCTTCAACCCTTGGTACTCGTCAGCAGGGAGAGCAAACCCTTCATGGGGGCCTACGAATAGTGCCAACCCACCCAAGGTACGATCCATATAAACCATTTTTCCTGTCTTTGGTTCATACTTGTGAACATCAAATCCAGCTAATTATAATTAATAGTGTGTAAAACTGGTGGCAGCATCAGCCAAGGAGACGTGGAAGACGACCTCTCGGTTGTCGGCACATTAGCATTAATCATCGTACTGATCAACTTACGCCCGTATCGAGGAAATGAACTGAAAGTCGAACCAGTGTAGGATTTCGTACCCATGTTAAGTGCTGCTCTATTGGATTTGAATTTTTTTCCTGTGTCAATCTAATGGATGCAGGTTAAAGTCTTCTTGTGATGCAAGTAAGTGAACGTTTATAGGGATCCTTATAAAACAGAGTATCTTATAGTAGTTATCTATTGATTGATTGGAGTCCTTAATGATATCATTGTATCAGTAGTAGAAGTCTAAAGACAATAATATTGGTACTGATCATGCCTATCAATTGATTTTATATCATTATCACTAGTATTGTTCATATATTACTTCTTATAACTGTATCATTCTTTGTACATAAGTTTGAACGCAATAATATTATAGAGACGGTCCCGTTACGGATTTATTCGATTGGGGATTTTTAACTGTTGGATCATCTATCCTATAGAGTTTATACCTACATGATGATTTAACGGTTACAAATCCCAACGGAATGTCCGTAACGGGACTGTAGCATTTCCCGATCTTATATTATGCCTTTTATCCTAATTTTATTTTTTATTCAAAAACAAAGATGTACTACATGAGCTTATTCCATTAACAATAACATGGTAAATTTCAATTAAGTTAATATTAATTTTCAATCAAACTATCTTTTTGTGTATATCTCTCACTTTTATATATAGGCATCTATAACAAAGTCTTGGAAATAACCAAATAATTCATGACATATTTTACTGAGAAACTTGCTAGGCATCTTTTCAGTAAGAGTGATATGAATGACACAGGAGCAATGGAATTCTGGCATAAATGAATGATGATAATAATAATAATAAGAAGAAAAAAACATTACTAATTAGATGCAATACTTGAAAATTTTCACTATCAAATAACTAATGCAAATGCTAACAAACTAAATAACAGTCATGAGCTAAGTAATCTCAAACAACCAAACCAAAACAAAACATGAGTTTGATTCCCTAGTTTTGGGAATGGTCTTTGATTGGTGGGATACTGGAACAAGAGGATCCGTACGACAACATGCCGTCATCATTCTGCACGAGAAACGGGAACCTAACGAGCGGGGTAGGGGTGAACCACTTTGGCCCACTAACCCGTACACTGCTCTGCACATCAACAGGATAGAAGCAGGGCGCAAATGTCTCGTCTCTGTAATTGAAGATGCCAGCATCATAATTATAAACGTCAACATGATGGCAACCATTGCGCCACCTCGGGGGTTCTGTGTAGTAAATGGAATCGGGCTTCAGCTCAGTGAAGTCGGCAGCTGGGAGCCCAAACCCGTTATTAGAGCCAATGAAAAGGGCCAGCCCATCCAGAGAGCGGTCCATGTAAACCAGGGAGCCAGTCTCCGGGTCGTATCTGTGAACATCGAAACCAACTGTCGTGTACGGAGGATCCGTGTAGATCCCTGTCTTGGGCCCATAATACTCATCCTTGGTGTAGTAGCCATCGGCCCCAACCCAGTCCTTGGTAAACCGTCTCACATGAAAAAGCTGGCCCGTTGGCTCGGCAACCGCTAGTAATATGGCGTCCCATATTGCGAGATGATCTTTTTGTTTGTGCTCTTGCTCTGATCTGTAGGCAGTGGGGTAGTTGTTCTTATCAAAAGACAAAGGCATGGGAATCATCCTTGGAGAATGAGGGTCTCTGAGGTCCCAAGCCTCCAGACGAGGATCCTTATTCTCGTTGATACCTTGATAATATCCATCTCTGAAACAGAAGAAGAGCTTTTGTTTGGCGGAGTAAACACAGGCATCGTAGTCTGTCTTATCGCCTAGCACAGTCCACTCCAAACTGCTGTTGTTGGGGCAGCAGAAAGCCAGTCTTCGGCGGGGGCCGAAAGTGACGAGCGCGCGGCATTCGTCGTCGTCATCGGGGCTGGAGCTGGAGATGATGACGTCATGCAGGGACCTGAAGCCAAGGGCCAAGTGCCTTTTCGGAATATCCGGTAATGTGCGGATGGATGGAAGCCTTACGTGGCTGCCGTAAAGGGGATTGGAGAGGATAAGGTCGCAGCTTTTCTTGTGAAACAAGAAAAGCCAGCCGTACGATGATCCCACGATGCTATAATCTTTGTCTTGCCAAAATTCTCGGTCTCCCCTCACGAGAGTCATCACTCGGTTCTCGCCAAGGATGTAAAACTGATAAACCAGCTCACCCTCTCCGGTGAAGATTGGCGGCAGCATAAGCCAGGGAGAGGTTCTTGATAGCCACGGCGCGGTTTTTGGCGCCAAACTGTAAGGAACACTAGTATGGATACTACTGCTCATCCTTTTCATCATAGCACCCCGATTGATTGATGATAAGGTTTCACTCAGTAGTGATTTTCTGGTGGAAAGGGAATTGTAAGATCTGACACTCAACAGGCTAGACGAAAAACTGAACAATGTCGAAGCATGTTTCATCGTTTTCCGACAGATCAAAGCAGAAGATAGGGGGACGGTCATCGTAGAAGAGAGAGCTGTCTGAACAATGGAGAACGCCATCAGATCTTCAAGTTTTTGGGCGACTAATGGATTAAAGAGTTTGAGTCAGTAAAGTCTTAAGTAAACATCAATTGTTTATCATATGTAGGGATCTATAATTAGTGGTTATATCGAAAATCTCAACATAATCTCAACAAAATTATCCTTAATAAACTAAAAACATGCATAATTCAAAAATCTATTATTTAAGCGGCGTAGCCAGAAATTTTTTTAACCTGGGGCTGCATATTATTGTAGCTATTTATTGGAACCTTGTAGACATGGTCATGGGCCGACCCAGCATGTCGGTTCAGCCCAAACCGACACAAGCAGACCCGTTGACCATGGTCTTGAACAAACCCGTGGTTTTGACCAGTTCGGTTCATGTACAATATTTTATAGTTTATACATTTTGAACATGCTGTTTTGGTTCCGAACTGGAACCGGAACCCGAAGTTCATTTTTTTTAAATATTATTCTAATTATTTTGTATTTTTTAATAAACCGGACGACCAGTAATCGACAATTCAATGAACCGACCCGTACATATCTTCGCGTCGGTTCATATATGTTCGCGTCGGTTCATGCTCCTCCAACTCTCGGCCCAGTATCGACGGTTTCGGCCTGTAACTGGTTTTAGTTATGATTATAAACAAATTATCTACTAACATATGTCGGTTTGAATTGGAAAAACTCAATCTCGAATCGCTTATATATTTAAACAAGCCAAACTCAAATAGCTAATTGTACTTGTCGATCAAACAAATAAAATCGAACATGTTTGCAATCAACTCTGTACGAGTTTTCTCTTTGTCTAGGAAAAATGATGTCGAATTAATTATTGGAGGCGAAAGAAAAACAAAATAAATGAAATTGGATAACGGACTGTGGAATGAGACGAATCGAATTAAATAGCCCGCTGGAAAAGTCTGTGTCAAACTTAATTATCCAGCTCATTTGATATTTGTCAAGTCAACCCATTAAAAATTTAAAGACAAGAGTGTGCTGGGCCACATTATAAACTCAATTGATAAAAATCTAATAAGGTCACAATTGTCATTTGACAATAAAAGATTATCTTTTTTCCTCACTATAATCATCATTTTTCCACCATTGTTGTCAGATAACAAATTTTAACATGAAGATAATCTTGAGTCATTCAGCCCAAAAATTAAATTGAGCTATATAAAAAATTACATGGGGCTGGAGCCCACCCTAGTCTTAGGGTGGCTCCGCCATGATCAATGTTATTAAACTAACGTAAAAAGGAACACATCACATACAAAATTTTCAATTGAAACTATACGCAAAACATATCAATGTTCTTAAAATTTTCAGTTATAGTAACTATACACAAAACTGCAGGTGATCAGAGTCTTTATGTTGATCTCCACAGTTTTTATGCTGTATAAGTTCCTTGAGTTTGTTACCAAAGAGGCTTGTAAGGGGCAATAATGTGTTATTTTTTCCAGAAAACACTTCAATAAAATAAAAAAAAAAAAAAAAAAAAAAAAAAAAAAAAAAAAAAAAAAAAACCCATAAGAACTACTATCATTTCCTTACAATCAAAGTGTAGGCCCTCTAAAGAAAACCAACAGATTCTTCTGAATCACTATCGATATCCGAAAGGGAACCCCAGAACTTGGAAACACTTGGGTCTGGTTCATACGGGCCAGACGGCACGCGCCAGGCAGCGGCCCTGAAGTCCCTGAAGCGCAACAGAGAGTTTGCCCCGTATGCTACACCACCACCAGTCACGATCCGACACCTGTCAACTGCCATTGTGGAGCATCCCGTGTAATTTTGTTTTCCATCTTCACCAGAAGAGATCAATGAATTCAAATGTTCGCCTGTATCAGTCTCCCAAACTTTTATATAGGAATCATACGGCCCACCAGTTACGATTTTGTGACGATCCAAGTGTAAAAGTTTAACGGGCCCTTCGTGTTTACTCAGCTCAACAGTTGGCTCGGAAAATCTCCTGATATCCCATAGCATGGCTCTGCCGGAGGTTTTGCAGATAATTTTTTAAGAGAAAAATAAGGAACTTTTAAATCTAAAGAACGCGTCTAAGTAATGTGCATATATATCAAAGAAGAATAAAAATGAATAGACCATGTTTCATAATTTGGATATGAAAACTTCCGCGCGTGCTTCTTCTGCAAATTTTGATAAGAATCTAAAAGTTAGGATGCAATGCAGAATGTCATCAGAACATGATTTTGGAATTTTTTTTGTTTTCACTCTTTGTATCTTCAGATGTGATTCACAACTGAAAATTTCACCACCAAGACTACAATGATGATAAAGGATGTTTTCATCTTTCTATGCCAAGACTCATTTCGTACGTAACTGATTCTATTTTCACCAAAACATTCAACATAGATTGACTTTTATCGGATTTTGTCCAAAAAGATAAATAAACTAACACTAAAATTTCAAACTTCAAACAACAATTAAAAGATAATTTGGGAGTATAATATAAGAAAAAAAAAAATAGGATTAAAATTTTAGCTCGATTTTATGCTCATATGTAATATAGATCCGATCAAAATGTTATCATAAACCGAGCTAAAACTGTAATCCGATTTAAGGATCGACAAGAATTATAAGAAGGAAAAATAAATAAATAAATAAAGACACAATGAGCTCCATTCACCCGCAAAATTCAACGACAAGCCCCTTTGATTATTTTTTTTAAATATAGTGAGAATTTGATTATTATTTTTTAAATAAAAAGGATAAAATTAATCACAACATGCAAATTGTCATCAATAAGTATGCTAGTTACCTGCCAGCTCCACCGGTGCAGATCAAAGATTTCGAAGGCAAGAACTCGAACGAATGTATGTTTCCTTCATGGACTGCCATGAATGCTCTGGACATTGTTCTCAAATCGACTGCTAGCATGGATGACCCAGTGGCAACATAGACCAGAGATTCATGGCATTTCATACCCACCGGCACGCCAGGTAAAGAGGTGGACCCCACACAACATGAAGAACGAGTAGAAGATGATGCTGTTGTTGTGTCCCAGACCTTAACCTATTAGATAAAAAAAAGGGTACAAACAAAAAGGCAGAATCCGAATCTTCGATTTAACAGAACTACAAAACAAGATACAAGAAAATAAGAAACTATTGCTTGGATATAGATTTATTGATTTTTTGATTGATTTTTTTTTTTTTTTT